AGTCATGTACCAAATTGTTCATTGTACCTCTATTTACAATAGCCACAACATGGAAGCAACCCATGTGTCCATCCACAGATGAATGGATAAAGAAGATGTGGCACATATATACAATGGAATATTACTCAGCCAGAAAAAGAAATGAAACTGAGTTATTGTAGTGAGGTCGATGGACCTAGAGACTGTCATACAGAGTGAAGTAAGTCAGAAAGAGAAAAACAAATACCGTATGTTAACACATATATATGGAATGTAAAAACAAAAAAAAGAAAATGGTCAGAAGAACCTAGGGGCAAGACAGGAATAAAGATGCACACCTACTAGAGAAGGGACTTGAGGATATGAGGAGGGGGAAGGGTAAGCTGGGACAAAGAGAGAGGGTGGCATGGACATATACACACTACCAAACGTAAAATAGATAGCTAGTGGGGAGCAGGCACATAGCACAGGGTGATCAGCTCAGTGCTTTGTGACCACCTTGAGGGGTGGGACAGGGAGGGTGGGAGGGAGGGAGATGCAAGAGGAAATAGATATGTGGACATATGTATATGTATAACTGATTCACTTTGTTTTAAAGCTGAAACTGACACACCATTGTAAAGCAATTATACTCTAATAAAGATGATAAAAAATATCCTATGGGATACAGCAAAAGCAGTTCTAAGAAGGAAGTTTATAGCAATACAATCCTGCCTCAAGAAACCACAGACATCTCAAATAAACAACCTAACCTAACACCTAAAGGAACTGGAGAAAGAAGAAGAAACAAAACCAAAATTAGCAGAAGGAAAGAAATCATAAAGATCAGAACAGAAATAAATGAAATAGAAACAAAGAAGACAGTAGCAAAGATCAATAAAACCAAAAGCTGTTTCTTTGAGAAAATAAACAACATTCTTACACTATTAGCCAGACTCATCAAGAAAAAGAGGGAGAGGACTCAAATCAATAAAATTAGAAATGAAAAAGGAGAAGTTACAACAGACACCGCAGAAATACAAAGCATCCTAAGAGATTACTACAAGCAAGTCTATGCCAATAAAATGGACAACCTGGAAGAAATGGACAAATTCTTAGAAAGGTATAACCTTCTAAGACTGAAACAGGAAGAAATAGAAAATATGAACAGATTAATCACAAGTAATGAAATTGAAACTGTGATTAAAAATGTTCCACAAACAGAAGTCCAAGACCAGATGGCTTCACAGGTGAATTCTATCAAACATTTAGAGAAGAGCTAGCGCCCATCCTTCTCAAACTCTTCCAAAAAATTACAGAGGAAGGAACACTCCCAAACTCATTCTATGGGGCCACCATAACCCTGATTCCAATGCCAGACAAAGATACTACAATGAAAGAATATTACAGACCAATATCACTGATGAATAGAGATGCAAAAATCCTCAACAAAATACTAGCAAACAGAATCCAACAATACCTTAAATGGGTCATACACCATGATCAAGTGGGATTTATCCCAGCGATGCAAGGATTCTTCAATATATGCAAATCAATCAGTGTGCTAAACCATATTAACAAATTGAAGAAGAAAAAATCATCTCAATACTTGCAGAAAAAGCTTTTGACAAAATTCAACACCTATGTATGATAAAACAACTCTCCAGAAAGTGGGCATAGAGGGAACCTACCTCAATATAATAAAGGCCATATATGACAAACCCACAGCAAACTTCATTCTCAATGGTGAAAAACTGAAACCGTTTCCTCTAAGATCAGGAATAAGCCTAGTATGTCCACTATCACCACCATTATTCATCGTAGTTTTGGAAGTCCTACCCATGGCAATTAGAGAAGAAAAAGAAATAGAAGAAATCCGAATTGGAAAAGAAGAAGTAAAGCTGTCACTGTTTGCAGATGACATGATACTATACATAGAGAATCCTAAAGATGCTACCAGAAAACTACTAGAGCTAATCAATGTATTTGGTAAAGTTGCAGGCTACAAAATTAATGCACAGAAATCTCTTGCATTCCTATACACTAATGATGAAAAATCTGAATGAGAAATTAAGGAAACACTCCAATTTACCACTGCAACAAAAAGAATAAAATACCTAGGAATAAACCTACCTAGTGAGACAAAAGACCTGTATGCAGAAAACTATAAGGCACTGATGAAAGAAATCAAAGATGACACAAACAGATGGAGAGATATACCATGTTCTTGGATTGGAAGAATCAATATTGTGAAAATGACTATACTACCCAAAACAATCTATAGATTCAATGCAATCCCTATCAAATTTCCAATGGCATTTTTTTTTTTATAGAACTAGAACAAAAAAAACCTTAAAATTTGTGTGGAGACAAAAAAGACCCCAAATAGCCACAGCAGTCTTGAGGGAAAAAAAACGGAGCTGGAGGAATCAGACTCTCTGACTTCAGACTATACTACAAAGCTTCAGTAATCAAGACAATATGGTACTGGCACAAAAACAGAAACATAGATCAATGGCACAGGATAGAAAGCCCAGAGATAAATCCACGCACCTATGGTCAACTAATCTATGACAAAGGAGGCAAGGATATACAATGGGAAAAAGACAGTCTCTTCAATAAGTGGTGCTGGGAAAACTGGACAGCTACATGGAAAAGAATGAGATTAGAACACTCCCTAACACAAAAATAAACTCAAAATGGATTAGAGACCTAAATGTAAGACCTGACACTATAAAACTCTTAGAGGAAAACATAGGAAGAACACTCTTTGACATAAATCACAGCAAGATCTTTTTCATCCACCTCCCAGAGTAATGGAAATAAAAACAAAAATAAACAAATGGGGCCTAAGGAAACTTAAAAGCTTTTGCAAAGCAAAGGAAACTACAAACAAGACGAAAAGACAACCCTCAAAATGGGAGAAAATACTTGCAAACGAATCAATGGACAAAGGATTAATCTCCAAAATATATAAACAGCTCATGCAGCTCAATATCTAAATAACAAAAAACCCAATCCAAAAATGGGCAGAAGACCTAAACAGACATTTCTCCAAAGAGGACATACAGATGGGCAAGAAGCACATGAAAAGCTGCTCAACATCGCTAATCATTAGAGAAATGCAAATCAAAACTACAATGAGGTATCACCTCACGCCAGTTAGAATGGCCATCATCAGAAAATCTACAAACAGCAAATGCTGGAGAGGGTGTGGAGAAAAGGGAACCCTCTTGCACTGTTGGTGGGAATGTAAACTGATGCAGCCACTATGGAGAAGAGCATGGAGGTTCCTTTAAAAACTAAAAATAGAACTACCACACAACCCAGGAATCCCACTACTGGACATGTACCCAGAGAAAACCATATTTCAAAAAGACACACACACCCCAATGTTCATTGCAGCACTATTTACAATAGCCAGGTCATGGAAGCAACCTAAATGCCCATCGACAGACGAATGGATAAAGAAGGTGTGGTACATATATATAATGGAATATTACCCAGCCATAAAAAGGAACGAAATTGGGTCATTTGTAGAGATGTGGATGGATCTGCAGACTGTCATACAGAGTGAAGTAAGTCAGAAAGAGAAAATCAAATATCGTATATTAACGCATGTATGTGAAACCTAGAAAAATGGTACAGATTAACTGGTTTGCAGGGCAGAAATTGAGACACAGATGTACAGAATAAACGTGTGGACACCAAGGGGCGAAAGTGGCAGGGGTGGTGGTGGTGTGATGAATTGGGAGACTGGGATTGACGTATATACACTAATATGTATAAAATGGATAACTAATAAGAACCTGCTGCATAAAAAAATAAATAAAATAAAATTCAAAAAAAAAACGAGGCAAGGGAAGGAAGGGTAAAAGATATAACCAGTGGTGGGCTTGGACTGGCTTGTACATGCTTGGGAGCGTAGATTTTGTGCTTCTCTTCCCTTTGAAACTCCATCTTCAGTGACAGCACATTTGTCACTTGAAATCAGCCATAGTACAAGCATTTACACCTCTGAAAACAGCAAACAGTACAAGTGAGGGCATTTCATTTTTCCAGAAAGCCAGTTTACCTGCACACCATGGGGTGAACCCAGAATTTTGAATTTGGATGACTAACTGAGTAGAGATTTTGGAGACGATGTGAGTTTGATTTGGGACCTGTTGAGATTATAGTAATAACTGGGAACAGTCTGACAATGTGGCAAATTCCATCTATAAATGGCACTCACTATCCTTTTGATAGAGAGTATAAAATGTTGTTCAGTAAATCTATTACGCTGCCTTGGAGTTGAAACAAAAAGATGAAATTCTTCCGAAGACACATGTTTTGCATTATACATGTAATTTCATTGCAGAAACACTAAAAACGCCATTGTTTTATCAGTAAAAGTTTTTACAGATATGGTAAAGTTTCCTGTGGATCAAAGAGTAGCTAAGCCACAAAACAAAATAATGATTCAGCTGACAATTCGTGTTAATACGAGCTCGTATTATCAGGGAGACTCAGGGAGAAAGAATTGTTTGCTGTTATTCTGGATGGAAAGCAGAGTGAGGATGTGGGATTTCACAGGTTTCATCTTTTACTTGAAGATGTAAGTAAGTTGGAAGATCTTTTCCTTTCTGTGAGAGATATTCTTTCAAAAATTAAAACAGTTTATCTTTTCAGCAGAGATTTGTGAAATCAATTATGCAGCATCAGTAAAGTACAATTCAGAGGGTGGTGTTTTGTGCGAAAAGATGTGAATGACTTATTCAGTGACACTATGTTACAAAGCAGTATTGCTGCATGATCCCAATTTTGTATTCAAACATATTGTGTCTGTGCATTCAAAGGCTGGAGGAGTAAAATGTTTAAAACAGCTATCTCTGCTTGATGAGATTACAGGTTGCTGTTTGTTTAACCCTGTTGCTGTGTATCTATTTTTGCTGTAGAATTATGAGAGCTAATAAAAAATGTTGATACAATAAGAAAAGATACACTGTCATGCCTGGCTGAGTGCAGTGTCACAAGTAACTTGACAATTTAAATTTTTACAGGGCGTCCCTGGAGCAAAGGGAGAAAGAGGAGAAAGAGTAAGTATCCTCTGGAGTGTTGACCAGCCGCAGCTGACCACACACCTTTTGTTGCATAAGCCTGATAAAGGATAACCGTTTACTCTCATGATTACTCATTGCTCTAATACCACTCCTCTTCCCCCTCTCCTCAACTCGCTTGGCTGTGAGCACATTTTCAAGTGAAAACCACCCTGTGGCTAGAAGTCAGGAGTGCTGGCTTCTAGTTGCAGATCTGCTACTATCCAGCTAGATGACCTTAGGCCATTTCTTTCAGGCTAAAATGGGGAGAATCAAACTCATCTAACTCACAAAGTGGATTTAATGAAGACATAATATAATGGATGTGAAAAGGCTTCAGAAAAGTAAAAGCTCTATTCAAAATGCCAAGCGGTAGATTGAGGCTTGTGTATTTCCAATATGGGAACCAAGGAAGACAAAGGCAGCATGGAATCAAAGAACTGGCTGTGAAACTTAGATCAGTTTATTTTAGGGTCCTTCTATATCCTTTGAGAAATTGTGCCACTGCTCATATAATTGTGCTGTCGGCTCTAGTAGAAACAGCAGTGACCTTGGGCTCATCCAGTTACCTCTGTGAAAACTTGGGCAGTATGTTTAATTCTGTTCATCTGTAAGATGGATTTAACATCTTTCCTCTGAGTTGCTATTAGTATTAAGTAAGCCACTGGTTGAGAAATTGCTGTATTTTACAAGCTCTAAAGAAGGATAAATAAGGCATTAAATATGTATAGGTTTATTACAAAACTATTAAATTTTTTAGAATCTGGGGCCAGAAACACTTGAACTTTTTAATTTCATAAAGGCTCTCAGGAACCTTGTACCATGAGTGTCAGATTGCTTACACCTTCTCCGTGTGCACCATGGTGGTCAATCCTACCTGTTGCTAGGAGACAAAGAGCCCAGGTTGGGAACAATGGGTCAAGTCCCATTTCCATCCTGGAAGTCCTGCCACGGCTGGGTTTGTGGCTAAGAGTCAGCAGTCTGCTTTTTTCTCATCCAGGGTGACCTACAGTCTCAAGCCATGGTGAGAGCAGTGGCACATCAGGTGTGCGAACAGCTCATCCAAAGTAAGTGCGTTATAGTTACAGATGTTTTCTATTACGCGTCCAAATGGGAATTTGCCTTTCGCACAAGCGTAAAGACTAAGCTTTGTCTTGTTGCAGAAACATAAGCTTTACAGATGGCCATCACTAACCCATCTAAGTGATCATTACATATTACCCTAGAGTTCTGCATCGATGGTGCAGAGACCAAATTCCTCTCTGTTGTTTGTCCAAAAACTCTGTTTGCCCATATAGGTTTAACTTGACTGCCCATATATCAAATCTTTTATTTCTTCTTCATCTCTCCAAATAGATAGATTTTTTTCTCAAGTCCTCAGCACTTGAAAGCTGCCAAACTAAGGCATCAGAAGCTACCTTCGAGCCCCTAGATTCAAATCCATATCTCTTTCTTACCCATTTCTTTTGGTTAGGCCAAGGCCTTTCCCTTTATTCTTTAAGATTTATACCAAAAAAAATGCGGACACACAAACATACATGCACACATGGGGACAGGCTTCATGTGAACATTTAACATGATACTTGGGCTCCGTGCCAAAAATTACACTGGAACACACTTTATCTCACACCTGTCCCATTTCTTCATTTTAAACTTGAACTGTCCCACAGACCAGTATTTCAGTCACTGATTCATGCTCATTCACTTACATACCCACGCATCTGTGCATTTCTCCCCTGCCCATTGACTCTATATTTTGTCTCAGTAATCTAACCAGAGGGTTACTAGAGTGGGCCCTTCTCTCTGCCAGTCATTTGTTCAGTTCCACAAAGATCTGAGGCCACATGGAGATGAAATATTCCTCTCAAACCCAGACAGCTCTGGCCTGGCTCTGCTGTCAAGCCCCCTGGTTCTGTAGCATCCACCATCTCCAAGGCCAACATTACCTAAGCGGCTGCCTTAACAGCTTTGAGGTTATATTTTTTTAACCTGGGAAGTTTGGGAATCCTGTAAGTGTCCAAGAAGGTGCTATTGGCTGGGTCCAAAATTCCATCTGCGGTAGATAAACCCAGATCTCATCCTGCAGAAAGCATGGAGTGAAGGTCTACAGGGGCTTGGAAGAGTTTTCATTAAGACGTAAATCTTAGGGCAAACTGAATACAAAGCTACTATCTTCAGATGTAGTAGTAATGCTCCCTATATTTTAACTTTATTTCATTTTGTATTCTGTTGCCCAAACTAGTGGTTGTGAAAGAGAGAATTTATCAGTTAAATGAAACTACTTAAGTTTAATGCCAAAATAGGATCTCTGAAAATACAGTTAATTATAAAAGGGAAACAACATTAAGTAGAATATGTCCAAAGCTAACCTGTACCTTGGATTATTTTGTAAGTTTCTCATTTCAAGTATACACTGTAAATGGGTGGGTAATGATTTTAAGGAAACCTAAGGGTTAAATCCTAATATGACTCACTGACCATAATATAAGGAAGATTTCACAATAGTTGCTATCTTATTCCACTGTAGAATAAAAATCTTATATAAATATGTGATTATTTGAAACATGCCCTAAAAATTGAGAGTCCAAAATCCAGTTTTTCCCATCAGGAATTCTCAGATTCTTGTGAATAACTTCTAGGAAATAGAAACCAGCAGGGGTTATACAAGAGCTGAAACATGTCTGTAAAATAGGGAGGCCCTGCCTGTCAATGTCATTGTCAGAGGAAAAAAATAGAAGAGATTTTATGGCAGTCTATGAGCAAAACCCAACCCACCCAGAAGCTTTATTTCTGGTACCTCAACCATCTGCCCACACACCACTTCACGTTTCTCTGGGCTTCTTATTTCCTTCCTTAGGCTTCACCTCAGAACTTGATTATCATTTAGCATATAATTCCTCACATGCTCAGTTACCTGGTTTCTAGTCCAGATCTGAATTATGCTAGGAAAGGTTATGTGGGAAGCTGTGTGAGGCTGAGGTGATGACAGTTAGAGAAGGATCAATAATAAAGGATGGCCCTTTTATCAAAGGAGGAAGCTGAAAAAGCAGATGTGGAAATGTCTGATCCCACCCAGACATTCATGAACATGCCTACTAATGGCTCCTGAGTCATCAGGAGGCCAATCCTACTTACAGTCATGGTCCTATGCTTAAGAATGCATTGACTATATCTTAGAAATCATCCCTCTAAAAATGGTTACTATTCTTTATTTAGGGTTGAATGTTTGAAAAGGAATAAATGACAGTCATTTGGAAAGTTCACTTCTTTGGGAAAATGTTATCTCCTGATGATGCTGAAAAATGGGGCATTATGGTATCAAATACTTTCTCAATCTATACTTCTAATTATTAAAATACATTCTTCCAGGCACAGCTGAGTTAAGGGATTCCGGGAGAGAGCGCCAGATTTTTTTTTTTAAATATTCAGAGTTTCTGCATCTGGGACCCAAGTAAAGGTTTCTGCAAAAAGGCTTGGCAATGAAGAAATGAGTTGAAACAGAGCACTTGTCTGGGGATTTCTGAGCAAGAGGGTGGGACAGGCTCTGTGGGTTGGCAAAAAGACATATTACTTGGGTGGAAAATCGCTGGGGAAAAGGGGCAGCTGGGTGAGTATTTAGGGGTCAGATAAATGTTGGGGGTGAAGATAAAATTTATGATTTCTGGTCAGTGATGTTTACTGAGATGCTGATGTGAGCTGTGGAATTCCAAACACATGAGATGCGACTTGAATACAATCCAGCTGTTAATATCATCCAAAGTAAAATGCAAAAAGTTTTCAGTTGGAAATCAACCTATTTCAGAGGGATGTGCTTCTTCCTATTGGTGGGTGTCTAACAGAATTGTTTGGAACCTTGACAAATAATACCTTCAGTTCTCCCTTTCTATGTGTGACAGTTCATCAAATGCTTCTTTGTCCTTCATGTCTCAGGTCATATGGCCAGGTACACAGCCATCCTCAACCAGATTCCCAGCCAGTCAGCATCAATCCGGACCATCCAAGGGCCTCCTGGAGAGCCTGGGAGACCAGGCTCACCTGGAACCCCTGGTGAACAAGGACCCCCAGGTGCCCCAGGCTTCCCAGGAAATGCAGGTGTGCCAGGGACCCCAGGAGAACGAGGTAAGCTGGACCACTCCTCTCACTGAGTGCGCTGAAACAAGAGTGTAACAGTGGTGCTTATGCAATGATAATGATAAAGTTCCAAATAATGGACCTAAATTAATTCTATTCCATCTATTCTTCAGCTTCTTGTTTATTAATTCCCAATATTGAGAAAATTGAGTAATCTACAAAACGTTTATTAAGAGCCATGTCTGCTTGTATGCAAAAGGAGGATCAGAAACCCCAATTCACCTCTAAAAGGCTTTTGAGCTAATGAGAGAAAGAGGTCCCCTCTGTATGGATGAATTAAAAAAATATGCCCATCCAGCTGGAATTACAAAATGATACCCCCCTTCTGGACAGATGTAGCATCAAACATATGTGTCAACTGAAAAAAAACAACAACAAAAAAAAACACACGCACACAACCTAAAAGTTGAGAATTATGTTTTATTTGGCGGACTCACTGAGGACTTAAGCCTGGGATGCAGCCTCTCAGATGGGTCTGAGGAGATGCTCCGAAGAGATGAAGGAGGACCTGGATTTGTAGGAGTTTTGCAACAAAAACCAGGTAGTGGGAACATCAAAAGAGAACTGTTAATTAAGGAAAAACAGGCATCTCAAATTAATGAATTTAGCACTTTCCTATGAATGGGAAGATGCGAGAGTCTGGGCTCATTGAAATCATTCCTTTGATACGAACCTTAACTACCTAGAGCCAGTATTCTATTCTTTTCCATCCTGAATCTCCTCAGGGTGCACTGTTGGGGGTAGTGGCTGTAGTGGCTGCTGGCTTGATGGACACATCTTTTGTTTGCTGATATGGCAAGCAGCATTCTTTGTCCACATGTGTCATGGCAAATAGAGAGCTCACTTCCTAGGTCTGGTACATTTTTTGTGCAGTGCCCATACCAGGCAACGGTCAGCCTTGAGGTAAGGCATGAGTCATATCAACATATGATTTACATGTGCTTATGTAGACCATGCCAGTTCTAAACTTCAAATTAAATACTGTTTGTGGCTCATCTTCCTATAACATGAGGCAGTATTTTATTTAATAGTTCCATGGGCCAATGTTTAATCTTTCCTACTAAAGTTTCTTTCAAACAGAGATCCTACTTAGCCTTTTCTTCTACCCTTTACAGGTCTTAGCAGTGTTGTGTAATACAATAAAGGACTCTTTCGATTGAATTTCACCCTATTCTGTAATTGGCCGAGATCTCCCACTCCAGAAGCAGATCAGATCAAAGACAGGTGGGAAAAGGGGTTACATATCAGCCACAAAGAAAGTGATAGGAAAAGAGATAACCAATAAAAGTATTTTCTAGGACACAATTTTATGGAATGTAGATTGGGAGAAAAGCTAACTAGTACCTATCTGCTCTTGTGAGTCATATTGCTTTAATGAGATGGGTAGGATATACTTCTTTGATCAAATTTGAGATGTAAAATGCAGATTACCAAGATAATATCTCATGTTTATTCTTGATCCATGCCAACAGGCCATGTGCATTTCTGCCTTTGCACTTTTGGACACTTTGTTCTTCCCCCTTTGGAAATGTCCTTTCCTTTCCCTGCCTTATGTGAATCTCACTCTTAGTTCAAGGCTCAGCTTAACCCCTGTCTCATGCATGAAGTTTTTGTTGATTGTTCTAGACCAACAGATGTCTCCACCCCCTGAATACCTGATGCTCTGACCATCTCTCTCATCCATTTTAGCAGTCATCACATGTTAATGAACAGCATGATGGCAGAAAGCAGGGCTCAGGTCTGAATTGCTTTGCAATAATAGGTCCTCATCAGATAATTGTTGCTTTGATTGCAACCCAGGTCTGATTTTCCTTTCTAAAGGGTTTTCCTGTGCCAGGGTACTAAATCAGCAGATACAGAGAAGGACATAATTTCCTCGCAGTGTACCAACGATCTGGCAGCCAGGAAGGTGGCCACCTCTGTCAACAGGACACCCTCTAATGGGGCTGGTGATGGATCAACTGTGACTCAGGGAGCACAGAGCCAGCGCCTAAGTCACTCTCGGCAAGTCACAAGTTGTCTTTGTTCTTTTTGGAAGTCCTGTCCTCGTTCCTGCCAGACTGAGCCTTTCCTGCTCTGCAAGAACACTTGAATGCTTAGATCAGAGAAAAGTCAGCCAAGAATCCTCAAACAGTGGTCCAGACAGCCCTCGAAATATGAATTTCCGTGATATAATTTTCTGACATACATGTATGTATATATTCCGGAAGAGTATAGTAGATAAGCAAAATCCTGTATTTCACAAACACAGGTAGGATGACAGTAAGAGAAAGTGAGAAATGCCCTCTGAGCATGAGGGAAGGTGATTTTGGTTGATCACCAACAGGGAGGGTGTGCTTTGGGGTTTAAGGTAGGGGTTTATAGGCCAGCGCCCAGGGGACTTTTCATTCCCAGCAAAGTATTTCAATCCTGTTGCAATTGGGATTCACGGTTGCAAGGAGAACAATAATTTTTTTTTTAAAGTATTTATTGAAGTATAGTTGATTTACCATATGCTGTGTTAGTTTCAGGTATACAGCAAAGTGATTCATGTTTTGATATTAGCCTTGTGGTCCAAAAACCCAGAAAAGATTGATACAGAAAAATGTCTGCCTTTCCACGAAATCAAAACAATAGAATTTTAAAACTGAAGAAACTTCAGCCATCTTTTCTCCTGACCCTCTCATTTTATATAAAAAAGAAGCTTATAAAGTTATCGAGGCCCAAAGAGGCTAGAAGTCAGCCAATGTCAGGACTGAAAATAAAAACCAGAGATCAGTTTGACTTTTTTTCTGTATAAAATATGATTATCACTATACTGTAGAATACAATTTTAAAAGGACACTTTATTATAATGAGTAAAAATAAGTACTATTACTAGGCGGTGTACTTAGACAAATAATAAGCTACAAAAGTAAGACTGAAAGAAATATGGATGTTGAGACTCTGGCATAGCATTGAGGGGAACCTCACTTTCTGCTGAGTCTTCATAAAAAAAAAATTCATGACTCCTCTGTTGATTTGGCTAATTTTTCACCAGAAGTACTCCATCTGATCTCTCTATTCTAATTTTTCAAAAGTTCTTCAAACTTCTTAAAACATAATGAACAAGAAGAAATACATTTTACATCATTATGCTTTATGCATGTGCATGTGTGTGCATTCAAACTTATATAACTGAGGCAAATAGAAATAATACTTTCCCTTACTGTTGTTTCCTGTTTTCTTTTGTTAAAAGGCTGAGGGGCAGCATGGGGAATTCTGTCCAATACTCTGTAATAACCTATGTGGGAAAAGAATCTGAAAAAGAAGAGATATATGTATATGTATAACGAAGTCACTTTGCTTTGCCCCTGAAACTAATACAACATTGTATATCAACTATATTCCAATATAAAAATTTTAAAAAAAAATGGCTAAGGGGCACCTTTGGATTTTATGACCTCAGTTTGAAATACACTGTTCTAGTTCAAGATCTTTGATTAACGCCATTCTTTTTTTTTTTTTTTTTTTTTTTTTTATTTGCGGTACGTGGGCCTCTCACTGTTGTGGCCTCTCCCGTTGCGGAGCACAGGCTCCGGACGCGCAGGCTCAGCGGCCATGGCTCACGGGCCCAGCCGCTCCGCGGCATGTGGGATCTTCCCGGACCAGGGCACGAACCCGCGTCCCCTGCATCGGCAGGCGGACTCTCAACCACAGCGCCACCAGGGAAGCCCCTGATTAGCGCCATTCTTATCATTGAAATATCCAAAGAATATGCATTTTTAGAGAATAGAAATTGCAAATATTCCTTCCACATCAGCTCGGTGAAGTAGACGACCATTCACGACTTTCCTTATTTCCTAACAGAAGACTGTATTTTCACTCCATCTGATTGTCTTTCTCGCTCTCATTAACCCTTTGTCTCCTTTAACTTAAAGTATTTTTCATAAGATTGTGTGGAACAGTCTCTTAACTATCTTCTCCCATAGGTTGTAATAGAAAGAGAATCCTCAGAGTTTAATGATTCAAAGAGATCCTGCAGCTCACATTGTTCCTCCAAAGCTTAAACTCCAGCTGAGACTTGGCTGATTATTGGCACCCAGAATTGAAGGGGTTCCACTTGCATCACAGAAGCAAAATGTGATGCGCCTGCTTTCTCTCCTCACTGTTAACTTATGTCAAAGAAAAGCGATTCCTCCATGGACTAGGCTACATTTTTGCTGCCTTTCCCCATTAAACTCTGCACCATCTTCAGGTAAATGGCTCTGTAGCCTGGCTTCCAAAATTTAGAAAAATGGGTGGGATCAGCTCTGAGGTTTCTCTGTTGTTCCCTGAACTGTGACAATTGAGTCCTAACTATTGACCTTAACTCACTCTCCAATTAGCCTTGTGTGATTCTAATGAGATCCTCTTGACAACTCAATTTCTAATTGTGATCTCTGCATGTCATTCCCAGATGACCAATCTGTTTATTTCCTTTTTCCATTTATTTAAATGTTCATTATCCACACTGATATCTTGAACCATCTATGAACCCAGACAACAGTAGCTTAGTTGGTCTAGAGTCCGCAAAATTCAGTTTACTTATTTATCTGAAAAGAACTGGGAAATTGTCCTAATTTCAGTCTTCATGCAACTCCTTCAGTTTCCATGATTCTCCAAAATATACTGGATCAGAGGAACCATCCAACTAAAGATTTTCATGTTTACATTGTATATCCATAACAGCTGGAATTCATAGCTGGTTTATTTTCTATAATAAATCAACAAATATTTATGAAATTTAAGGTTTATGTAAGGCTGTTGGCTGGGCAGTGTGTGAGATAATACTATGATTTATGGCTTTTGCTTGTTATGTTAGGCGCCAAATGCATCTGGCAATATTGTGCTCGGTCCCATATATACAATCTCATTTGGATAAAATAGAAGACACGGTTTGGATAAGGAAAGAATATGATATATTACTAAATGTACAAGTAGGGAGATGGCAACTGCTAAGCAAGTTATATGGAAAGTACATGCTGTCG